CTTTGAAGTTGGGAAACCGGAAGGGCTTACCTTTTTCAATTCCCGAATCTCACCGAATCTCTCCGAAATTAGCTCATCTTGGTGACTGTAAATTGCACAGCTGTATTCAATGGAGTCTTGTCATATTCGATCAGCCTCAATTTTAAAGTGTATATTTTATTTTCAACGTGATTTCATCGTTTTTTGTCGACTGGTAAGAAAACGCCGGGCAAATGGCAAGATGGATGACTTTTGACCTGACCTTGACCGATGGTGATCACGTCATCAATATTACCAAGATGGCGGTTTCAAAATTTTCTAAAATTGCTTCAAATAATATTATGTTAATTCCTAGCGAGTAAAGATATCTCTTAGTTTGCTATTTCACAATAAGATAACGAAATGTGTAAGGAATTCGTATTTATCAATTAAAACATCACATCGACATTTGGTATTCGTAAACTAGACGATGAAGATAACGACCTCGAAAAAAAACAAAAGAGCGAGTAAGGGATTCGAACCCGGGCCTCCAGCGTGCTAAGCGAGGATTCTCCCTCTAGACCACCGTTATATTACCGTTATTGGTATTAAACGCTACTTATTTTGAATGCTATGATTCGGAAGTGAAGTCACGTTCTTCACGTTTTGTTTGAGAGCGAGAACGAGACGTGCCAGAAGCCCGGCTTTTTTGTCAGTCGACCTGTTCAAAGTACATTTAGTAATAATTATCGCTTTTCAGAACAATTTTGGAAACAATATTTTCTATCTACGTGGATTACAAAGCATCTAAGGTATGTAAATTAATATGAACAACTGAGTCAATAGGGATAAATAGCCCAACGAGAGTCGGCGGTCTTGAAAAATACTTGGATCTGATGCCAGTCCTGTTATTGATATAGTTCCAGGGCAATTCGAAGAACGTATTAGATGTCCGTGGATTCGTCCATCTGTCTCTCAGTCAGTCCAAAAAAGTGGCAAGTTTTAAACCTCTGTCAACACTTTTTAAATCCTCTGTTGATAGGATTCCCGATTTAAAATAATTTTGTTCAACATCAATAAAGAAAAAAATCTGTGACTCCTTCTTCAAAATCTCGCCTAATTTCAAAATGGCCACCATTTTTGTCTCGCGAAATTCACTTTTGGCCCATTTCCTAGCTTTACAAATAAGTTCAGGTGTCCTGCATTGTAAAAAGCCATGTCTTTGTAAAGAGTAGTTGTATGAAATAATTTTGTAACAAAAAATCTGCAAAAAATTATACCCGTCTTTTTTATTTTCACTTTTGAGCAACACCATGTGAGCCCAGTACCCACGGTACTAATTTTACATTTTGGCATGCCAACCTAAGGTCCTTGCAATGGCATGGGTGCACAAAGGTCCTATCACTATTGGAAGAGTTTATTTTCATTCACAAGGGTAGTTTGGGATTCTTTACATTTTATGAAGCAGTACATACACTCCCCTCCATAAGTTTGGCAACCTTTTTTCCCCCATTGAACTACGTGTTAAAGCCTCTTTACCTTTGAATTTTTATTTACTTAACCTGCGATGAAAATACTTTAACTATTGCTGGGAACGTAATTTGACCTTAATTCCAATACCTCCAAATTTTCTCAATTTTTTTCCTCAATTACAATAGGTCGAAAATTGATGATAAATTTGATGAATTTTTGAAAATCGACATTCCCATGTTAACCAATGGGAAATGGTAGGTTTGCCGCAAGTCATATGACAGAATATCTATCCATCCGAGTCCTTGCAAAAAATACGAGTTAGGCAGGCAATTGAATTTGCTAACTTTATTTAACAAAAAATTGATATGTTTCTTCAGGTTCAACAAAGTTATAGGGCTTTAAAGTCAAAATTGTTTTTCAAAAAACCTCTCCCATTGAAATAACACAGGAGGCGAAAAATTATTTTCAAAAATGACTTTGAAGCGCTGTAACTTTAATATTCATCAAATAAACTAAACACTTAGTGTTCAAAAAAGTTAGACAATTCAATTTTCTATATAAAAATATTTTTTGCTGAATCTTTTACTGAAAATTTATCCTGATTTCTGATTTGCCCCGAACCCTCCATTTCCCATTAGATTACATGGGAATGACAATTTTCAAAAATTCATCAAATTTATCATCAATTTTCGACCTATTGTAATTCAGGAAAAAAATTGAGAAAATTTGGAGGTATTGGAAATAAAGTCAAGTTACGTTTCCATCAATATTATAAGTTATTTCATCGCCGGTTAAGTAAATAAAAATTCAAACGTAAAGAGGCTTTAACACGTAGTTCAATGGGGAAAAAAGGTTGCCAAACTTATGGAGGGGAGTGTATAAATGAATACACACTGTGCAGATTATACATAGTCATTTCTAAATACTTGTTTATGAATGTGACTGTTGTCCGATACCAAGCTACAGATACCAATGCAATAAGACTGAATTGTTTCAGATACAGTAGCAGGCCTGTCAACTTGGGAACACCTAACATGAGTGGGGGGTAGGTACGAAAAATTTCGAACGGAATGCGTGACATATACATGATTCGCGTGAAAAGTCCGAACGAAATGCGTACGTTTTTTTTCGGCGTTCGTATTTTTGCTGTGTAGACGAACTTTTTTCTAAATTTTTCTACAGAAATATTTTTGCTTGACAATTACCAGGTAAAATGCGTATTTGCGTGACATTTTCTGTCACGCAAAAATAAGTGGCGTGACTTCAAATTCTTCAGCAAATGCGTGACAAATACGCAAATTGCGGGACAGTTGACAGGCCTGCAGTAGTTTCATTTCTTTATTTCAATCACTTTTCTTCAAAGAAGGTGCAGTTTTTGTTACTATACTCCAGTAACTAATGAATAAACTGGTTATTTTTCCCGGGGTTTACTCTATATTTACCATGGCGGGGATCCTTGGCTTATGTGGGGTGACTTTTTGACATTTGGTATGGCAATAGTCCCAAATTTCAGGATCTGGTATGAAAATACCCCCAAATTATGACTTTTGACTTTCTTGAGGCTTCAGACAATTTGAATTTTCTTGGTCTTATATATGGATATTTGGTATGGCATTGGTTCTCTATTTGGACATTGGCATGGCATTGGTATTATACTAGGACATTTGGTATGGCTTTTGGGCGTTTTTTTGGTTGGTATGGGAACACATTGAAATTTGACAGATTGGTATGGGAACATACTGATATCTGAGATCTCAGCCTAGGACCCCCACCAAATTTTGTTTACAGTCACCCCCCAGGGGGGGGGGGGGGCTCATTCAGTCTATTTTGTAGTATATTACTTTGTTTCACGAGCAATTTGGAGAAACAGGGCGTGAAACTAGGACCCCCGTCATAAACTTCTACCAGTTCAAGATCCTTTTCAATGATTTCTGGGCACGTTCAACTGTTTGAATCAATTGTGTCCATCAAAATGAATTCCGACTTTCAAAATTCTCTTTTTTGTTTGTATTTCTGGGCACTTTTAAATGTTAAGCAATGAATGAAACTCAAAATGTATGTGTCAATTATAAAGAATTTGAAAAATGGGTTTTTGATTTTTTTCCCCCAAAAATGAGAAAAATTTTGTTTTTTGAAGGGGGATGTCAGAGGGGGAGAAAGGGGTGCTCACCTTCCTCCAAAACATTTTACTATTTCAAGGTGCTATTTTATGATGTGAATCAAATAGATTTTTTCAATTGATTTTTTAGGGTGAGAAAGATCCATGCCTCAAAAAAGTTAACAATTTTAAAATGCTTGGTGATTTCCAGGCAAAATCAAAGTGTATGAGTCAATTAAAAAATCACAAAAAAACTCTTTTTTCAATTTTTGGGGGATACCAAACTGGAAGTAAGGAGTGGTCCCTTCCCTTCTTAAACATCTTACTATTTCTAAGGTGCTATTTCATGGTGCCTGAGCACTTTTGATGTTTGTTAAATTCAATGAATTCAGAATTCTTTCAAAATGCTATTTAGTGTTTCTGGGCACTAATTCAAGGTGTTCAAGTCAAGTAAAACAAAAATTTCACAATTTTTTTTGGGGAGGGGGGTGCCAGACAGGCCTGTCAATTATTTTCATGTTATGACATTTTGGAGGAACAGTCAAAGAAGTTAAACCATAAACTTTTGATTGTCACTCAGAGGTTGCTTTTAACTTGGTAACCATGATTGTAATTAACGAGTTATAGTTGTGTTCCCGGGTTGTGTTATTTTTTTTCCCATAATAGGATTCTATTAGTACTGATGCCCTTTTAGGGCCAAACGCACATCCTATATACAATTTTCAATAACAGTTAATATAGCAATATAGTAAAGAAAATAGGATTACATTCTTCAAATGACATATAAAATGTTACTTTGATATAAGAATCCTGTCTCTACCAATCATTAGATACTTTATCATGTCAGCAGATTCTTTTAATATGATCCCCTCACTCGTCAATTTGGTGGTCATTCATGTTTTTAAAATTACTACACAGGTTTTCAAGTTTTTCAATATGGGATTTTCTGATAAACTCCAATTTTTTACATTTGAATAAAAATTGTGTTTCATCTTCTATAACCGCGAGTCCTTACATATTTTACAAAATCGACTATTAAGATCAGTAATTGGTTTTGTATACCGGCCTCTCTCTATCTCTAGATTGTGGGCGCTTATACGTAATCTAGTTAAATGTTTAGCGTTTGAACGTGTCATTTCTGAAAGGTAGTGTTCAAATCCAAAGTGCGATTTTAGTTGTTTAAATAATCTAAGTTTCCCCCCATTCCCACTTATCAGATTCTTCCAATATATGGATTGATCTCCCCAGCACTAAATCAAGTGTGTGCAGCACCCTCCTGAGATTTTGATAACAGTCTTGTACCCGCCTGAGAATCAATTTGCACCCATGGGAAAAATCATGAAAAATAGGCATTATTTTGACCAACTTTCGTTGGTCTGAATTGTGTGAAAATGAAAAATTTGCACCCACTTGAAAAACATCCCGTTGAGATCATTGAGTGTCATGTCTATTACAATGTACTTCTATGCAGGTACGTGTGTATGATACAACAGAGGGTAATGGCTTCAGGTGCCTTAACACTATAGATGCTGAGAAGCTAATCTCCAAACACAGATACAACAAACTACAGGCTGCAACTGAGGCTGCTACAGGTAAGACCCTGTTAGGCCATCAGCTTCACCCCAAAATTTAGGTTATCGGTACCAAGTTAGGGGAATAATGCTCATAGTGATTTTTGGCAAGGTAAATACCTCCAGACTAAGAAAATATGTGATAGCATTGCAGGAGTGGTAGCTTATGGGTGTTATCGCCCATTTTTCAAAATGGCTGCTATTGCGCTTTTTACCAAATAAAAGAAATCATATTTTAGTATAATGAGAGGCAAAAACAGTGATTTTGAAGTCTATTTCTGGGTTTTAGGGGTCAAGGATTTCATTTATGTCAAAATCTAAGTCATCAAAAAATTGCTTTATATGGAAATTCAAGATGGCCACCAAAATGGGTCTCAAAACAAATATGTTACTATTGATACAAGCTAAAAAAGCTCAAAGAACGGTTAAAAAGTGACTTTGGAGACCATGAATAGGTTTTAGAGGCTGAGGATTTTATTTGTGTCTATTGATAGAAATCCTTTATATGAAATTCCAAGATGGCCACCAAAATGAGTGCCAAAATGAATATGTAAACTATTTATATAAACTCAAAGAACAGTTAAAACGTGCATTTGCAGACCATGATAGGGTTTTACAGGTTAATATAGATTCCATCCATGGATGAATCTAAGTGATTAAAGAATACCTTAATATAGAAAATGGCTGCCAAAATGGCCATACATATGGCTGCTAAAATGAATTTGTACACACATAGAAAAGTTGGAAATATAATGTACGTAATACTATCTGAAACTAGGTTTCAGGGGAAAATGGTTTCAATATAGCCTTTACCAAAGTCATCTTAACCTTTCCTCATATTAAAACCCAAAATGGTCACCAAAATGGCTGCCAAAATGAATATTTACATGTACATACATGTATATCTTTAAGCATTAACAGAGGATGTCGGCAAGTGATTGTGGTATCTTTGACAATTTAACTAGGATCTAGGGATTGAGGATTTCAGTTACCATTGAAATTTTTCTTTTTACTTTAATTGTTAAATTGTTTTCTTGATAAAAATCAAAGATGGCTGCCAAAATCGCTGCCAAATTGGCTGTTGGTAAAGTTTTTACCTATTTTCTAGCTTATTTCTCTCTGTATCTGTAACCTCTATATTTTTCAGTGTTCTTTGTTGTTTTTATTTTTGTCTTCGTTTTTTGTTTTTTTTCTTTTGTTTTCTTTGCTGCCTTTCAATTTTCTTGTTTTATTTGTGTTTTCTCATTTGTGTTGTCTCTGTTTCTTCATTTTCTTTGTTTTTCTCTTTTTCTTTTTTCTTGGAATTAGAGTCAATTAGAGCTTTCGGGATACACCAAAATTTAACCTGGTCCATTGTCAAGAGCTGATTCCCAGAGTGCTAAAATACTTATTAACCTTTTTTTGGGTGTGTGTTTGTTTGAGATTATTGGAACCAAAGTTGCCTATCTACTCCCGGGTAACCTTTGCAAGTCACACCTTCTTACTCTGTTGATGTTGCTCTTTCTCCTCAGCCTCTGTTGTTGTAATGGAAGTTACATAGTTGGAAAAGTCATAGGAGAATAACACCAAACTGAAAGCATGAGACTTTGAACCAACTCCCTGCATGGCTAAGGTCAATTGCTTTCATTCATTTTTCTAGTTCTCACAGATGCTGTTGATATCTTTAAGAAACTCATCAAAATATTTCCCTAGATATTCAATTATCTCATCATGGATAGTATGAATAATTGCACATTAGCTGCCTTTGTATACCACTCAGCTGAAAAGATTCCTTGGATTGGCCATCATCTCGAGGCAGCTTAGAATCTGTTGTGCTCCAGGGAATGACTAAGTCATAACAGTGATGATGTCCATATAGGCTTGGCAAGAAGGATGTTTTGTGTCATCATTCACTTTGAGACCTCTTTACTTGCATGGACTCTTATGCTTTCACAATCCAGTTCATTGCTGCGATGAAGAGGGTACAATTGAGATGGTACATTCCATCAGGACCATCTTGGATATTCAAATAAATGTATTCCAAAATTACTTATTCTTTTGGCAGCCATTGTGGTTGCCATCCTGAATATCCAAATAAAAGAATTATTTGATGACTAAGTTTTAGACATAATTAAAGTTCTCGACCATTAAAACCTAGACATGGTCTCCAAAATCACTTTGAACACATATTAATAGTAACATATTCATTTTGGCAGCCATCTTCGATTTCCACATCAAGTTATTCTTTGATGACTAAGACAATAAAATCATTGATCCCCTAACACTTTCATGGTCTACAAAATTAATTTTTATCTGTTCTTTGAGCTTATATCAATACATGTAGTTACATTTTCATTTTGGTGGCCATCTTGGATTTCCATATAAAGCAATTCTTTGCTGACTTAGACTTAAATGAGGCATAAATGAAATCCTTGACCCCTAAACCCTTTCATTGTCTGCAAAATTGCTTTTTATCTGTTCCTTGAGCTTACATGTAGTTCAATACTGTAATGACATATTCGTTTTGGCACCTTTTTGCGGCCATCTTGGATTTCAATATAAAGTAATCCTTCGATGACATAGCTTTAGACATGAATAGAATCTTTAGACTCTAAAACCTCTTCTAAAACTCTTCAAAATCATGTTGAAACGTTTTTGAGCTTGTATCATTAGTACATATTTGTTTTTGAACCAAATTTGGCGGCCATCTTGGATTTTCATATGAATTAATGTTTTGATGACTTGGATTTGGGCATAACTCAAATCGTTGACCCCTAAAACCCAGAATTAGACCCTAAAATCACTGATCTTGCCTCTCAGTATGCTTAGATATAACTTCTTTTATTTGGTAGCAAGCGCACCGGCGGCCATTTTGAAAAATGGGTGATAACACCTATTAAGCTACCACTTCTGCAATGCTATCACATATTTTCTTACTCTAGGGGTCTAGACCTTCCCAAAAATCACCATGGCCATTATTCCCCTGATTTGGTACCGACCAACCCCCCAGGCTGATCGCCTATGTGTAGAAAAGAGAAAATGTTAGGACAAAATTCTGAGAGGTTGCAATTAAGGGTCCCACAACACATTATGAAACGATAGAATACATATCTTGATACTTACAGGACCAAAACTTTGATATTTTCCAACAATGAAAACGTCAAAATGTCATTATCTTCTGAAATTATAATCAACTATAAATTCAAAATAAACATTTATAAAGATTTGAACCCATATCTTGATCATTTCTTGTGAGTTTTGGAATTTTTCATTAGGAAATAAGACCAAAATTCATGATTCAAATGTTGAAGTGAACAAAATGGAGGAGAATTCTGTATCACAACATGCCTATATATGGGACAGAATATCAATGTTGCACTCTTGGAGCCAAACCTCCTTGGCTAAACATTACGTCTATAATTAAAAACTAAAATTGTTCGCTTTTTATTCAATATATCACAATGAACTAACATTTCTAAATTACATTATGTCAGATAAAAGACCCAAAGAGTAAAATCAGGTATACGAAATAGTCAGGAAAAGTCTATTGAATACAAACTAGAACACTGAATAATTTAGACATAGAGGACAGAAGTAATTTGTTTGCATTTTGACTATACCACACAAAAATGTAAAAGGATGATTCTCGGTTTGGAGAACGAAGTTCATCACTCTAATTGAGCGCTATCCCTGCTTCGGACAAATTTGATTTTTTTTACATAATATAGATTTGAATGTCTTCTTTTGAATAGACATAAATTAATTTGGGTAATATTTCTAGATTTTCCATAAAAAAATTACTAGTGAACCACCCAACGTCGCTTCTATGATTCGTACCACTTTTTTAACTTGATGTATTGCATATTTTCGTGGGTCGATTAAAAAAAAATACAAACGACGTATACATGAATATGTCATAAGCATATCGTGAGATAATTGTTAGATTAGGTTTGCTATAAGTGACTTAAAAACAAAAAAATAAAAAACATTAGTTCACGTGTTAAAGTTCCATTGACCGTGACATCAAGGAAAATTGAGTTTTTTGTCATCAGACATCTTTATAGATGGAACTAGCTATGTACTACATTTTCAAATACACTCACATAGAACATATCTAAGATGTTCTTTTTATCGATGAAAAGATTCTTACATTCGGAAGTTACATTAAAATATCAATTGCAATAGCCGCCTGTTTTTAACATCCCTTTGTCACTCATCCCTTAATTATCTCTGTGTATCCATTCTGATACTCATAGCATCTTTCTGTTTCACCTGAAACATCTCAGGGCTGAGAAGAAATGCGATGTCATGGTTTATCATGATGCTGTGTATCTTATACTTGTGTGTGTTCGATTTTGATAGCACCCGAGTGCAACCTAAGGAGCACATACAATACATTTTGTGTATGCCCAGTCTGGTCTTATATCTGCCTGCTCCGAGGAATTTTGGTGGCGATTTTTTGATTTTTGTAATAGCCTACTACATAGCATCTCTTGTGCGCGTAAATCCCAATGTTTTGAAATAGAAAATAGAGACTCAATTCTATATCGATAGTTTCACAGATGAGGGTAGCGAATGGGCGCAGCTTTGACGATCAACGAATGATATAACGATATCACGGATTTCACCGAATGTTATATTCATCCCTAAATAGCTTATTTATTTAGTCTTAATTACCTTGTGATGTTTCTATTCATTGCAGTGACTCTGAAATTGCTGTGCCAGATATTACGTCACAGCGACTCATTTTCCAACATTTAAGCATTTAACTAAATAATTGAAATATAATTATTAAAGAATGAGGACCTTGTGTTTCACTCTGGACGAGGGGGGCCATGTCTCGGCTAGTTGTGCATTAACGTTTGATACTCTTTTGTGGATAAAAATAATGAATATAATTATGTTAATGTAGCACTAAGCAGATACTTTTAAAGAATATAGTTACACTTAAAGAATAGGTCCAACGAATAGATATTGAATATAGGACTCGTTTGATGAACGATCGTTGTAATAATTCTAATAAACCTATAGAAATGAATCAA